ATCCCAAGCGCATAAGGTGTAATAGTCCCACTCACTGGACCGAAGCGAAGGTCCAAATTGTCCTAGGGCCGATTATCGCTCGAACGTCAGCGCCCCGGTTCACGAGGGTGGAATTGGCCAACCGGATCAAGATGCTGGATGAATTACAAATGCAGTAGGATGAGGCCATCGTATCCCTGCATGGTGATTTCTAAGCTAACTGCCGAGTGGACACCTGTGCGTGTTGGAAGTTTCGGCTGGAAGAGATAAGGACTGACTGAAATGAGGGGAAGAAGACAAAAAAGAGGGGTTTCTGAGCATAGATCCCAAGACTTCCTGCTCATAGGACGAGTGAGATGTAAAGGCGCAATGCCGTGCAACGATGATGTGATCTCGCTGCGGATATTGCGCGGTGTTATGTCTGGGGAGATATCCGGCTGGATGACTTAAATAATGGACATCAAAAGCGATACCTGTAGCTAAGACCAAAATTAGGTCTCAGGAAAATAAGTTCTGAATCAATCAAAATAAATCGTACCCATGGCTCCAGCACCGATTGACCCCCGGATTGTCGATGTGGCGGAACCGTTGAAGCAAACCCTCCCGCTCCCACCGGCAACCCAGGAACGCCTGGAGAAAGCAGGAATCGATCTCTCGGAGGGCTATCCTTATCGGCCGTCTCGTCCTTTGTATCTGGACGATGTCTACAGCATCCGCGACTATGACCGCGAACATGTGGACCCGGGTAGCCGAGCGGATCCAGAGAAGAAAGCGCTCTTGTCCGCCGCCAAGGAGGTGATCCACTTGACCAGGCACATCGGAACCGAGATAGTAGGCCTACAACTAAAGGACCTCACCGACCAGCAGAAAGACGAGCTGGGCCTTCTGATTGCGGAGCGCAGTGTGGTCTTTTTCCGGGATCAGGACATCTCGCCCCAGCAACAGAAGGAGCTAGGCGAGTGGTTCGGCGAGATTGAGGTCCATGTAAGCATCTGAGCATCCCATGACTACGGAGCGGGCGGCTGATATTGTTCTGCGTATTTAAGCCTCAAGTGCCGCAGGTGCCTGGCGTTCCTGGCGTGACAGTAATCTGGCCTGCTCTGCAAGCAACAGAGCGCCCGGCAAACTTTCGCAACCCCGGAGGCGCCTCCCGCTGGCATACAGATCTCGTCCACGAGCGCCAGCCCGCGGGAGTGACCCACCTACACAACGACACTATCCCCAGTATCGGAGGAGACACCCTTTGGGCCAGTGGTTACGCGGCGTACGAAAAGCTATCGCCCGCGTTTCGGAAGATCATCGACGGTCGAACTGCAATCTACCGATCTGCACACCCTTATCTAGATCGCAAACACCCGGAGCAGGGCCCCAAGTATGTCGAACGTGAACACCCCTTGGTTCGTGTCCATCCTGCGACCGGCTGGAAGGCGCTCTGGGTGAATCGAGCAATGACCGACCGTATCGTAGGCCTTGATAAGGCCGAGAGCGATCTCATTCTGGGCTACTTGTGTGACGTGTTTGAGAAAAACATTGACATCCAAGTGAGGTTCAAGTGGAGCCCTAAAACGAGTGTTCTTTGGGACAACCGGTCAGTCGCCCTACATTCAATGAATCAAGCAAAATCTAACAACTTGCAGGATTACCATCCATAACGCCAGCTGGGATTATGAGGGCACTGAGCCAAGGCATGGCACTAGAGTCACTTCCTTAGCGGAGAAACCGTTCTTTGACCCGAAGGCTCCGACCCGCCGAGAGAGTTTGGGCTTGCTGGACAATGCCGAGAAGGAGGAACTAGCCAAGGTAAACAACTGAGGAAGGACCGAGAATGAATATGGTATAAGCAGTGGATTGTTATCCCCGCTTTAAATCCATGAAATGCAATGAAATTTTATCATTTCCGCTCGAGTATATAGAGCCAGTGGAAGACATCCGGCGTATGAGCAAAAGACGAGGTCTCGCCTTTCGGGGCCTTCAATGGAGTCCGAGAAGCCAAGTTCCAGTATCGAGCCAAGTAAGGCAAGTTATCATAGCGCATAGTCGAGTAGGACATCGTGGCCCAGATGGCCCCTTTCTGCGTCAACGGTGCGAGATGCAGAGCCAATACCTCCACCGGCGACAATGTTATCGCTCCAGATTTCTCCACGATCTGCCGGATAGTCGGGCATGTGTTCGATGCTTCGGAAGCGGGAGCGAATGTCAAGGGCGCCGCCGTCGCGATCGCATCACTGGTGCTCTTGTCAAATACCACATCGAAGGGACCGTACGCGATCGTCCTGGAGACGTCATCCCAAGACCGCAAATCGGCTTGCATCCAGTGCATCGCCTGCGACTGTTCCTTGGTGGCTTCCATTTCGCGACCGATGCGGACGGCCTCGGAGGAGAAATCGACGTTCTGTCACAACAGCTTCGGCGTAAGTTTATGATGTCAAGCAAATGCAGGGGCCGCTCAGGACTAACCAGTATTTGACTCCCACACCAGCCACGCTTTGTGAACTCGTCGCAGAGTTTTGATCCCAGCTTCGAAATACCGGGACCGAGGTGCAAGGCACGAGGTGAGGGTGCTGGCTCATCGAGCGCGGGGCGGCGGTCCAGATGCGACATCACCGCGTCGATGAGCGGTTCGCCTGGGTTCAACCATTCGCCCACATCGCGGCCACTAGAGAACTTATTATCCCAGAAGACTGGATCATCGTAGTCTGGAGTACCTGTTTGCTTCGTATGTGGTCGGCTATTGCCTGCGGTGGCCATTCTCGGGGGGCTGCGGGCGAAGAAGGAGTTGGAGACAGTTTCCAGGCTCTTCCGTCGGTCGGATAAGATTGCAGCCACGTGATGCTTATCTTATCGTCCAGGCAGCAATGTTGGCGCCTAAGGCATATATATTTAATCGAACTCTCTCGCCTTGTACCCGATCCACTTTCGATGGAGTAGTTCGTAATTTCCATTCTACTATTGCCTCTGTGTTTCCTTCAACTCAGTATAAAACATGGCTCAACTTTTGAAACACCCTGGCTCGCTCGTTCACCATGCTAACGAGGCCTCGGAGTCTTCATCAGAAAGTCCAATTGATAACTCCCTCCTCAGGCAGATTCCCACTAATGTTTCGCAACCTTTATACTACAACACCACAAGCCCTCAGCACAAGCCCAGAGCCGAACCTCGGTACTTCCGAATCCTTTGTCCGTAGAGAGAAGTCCCTGTGTAATACCCAGGCTTAAGGCAGCGAAGATAATTATCCCAAGTGACATCCCATAATTTGCGCAATTTTATGATTGTGATGGTGTGGGGCGACGAAGCGACGAGTTCAACAAGCATTGCACCAAGTGAGACTTCCTCCAGCCAATCTAAAGCTGTAGGATTCTCCAGCTGTTCTCCAGCCAAATGCAGGAATCTTTTTCTCTTACTGTTCAGGCGATGGGGAGTCTAACCAGATGAAGAAGTGTGATGTGGCTACTGTAAAATGAGTGTTCTCCGTATGCAATAGTCAGGCTGAATAAATCTCACCAAGTACTAAATTGGTTGTTTGTCTTCACAAAATCTTAACAGGATGACTATGGGAGTAGGTTGTGAGCAATTTTGGGTGTAAATCCCTGGACAGAAGCGTAGCGCTAGTTGGTAAGGGTCTGCTCGGAGTATAGAAGAAATCAGTCGCAGCCAATCAATCCTGTTGTTTCTCGAGTAGGTAAGACACAGGGTTTCCCGAGTCGCTCACGGATTCCTAGCCGATGATTCAATTGGCAGAATAAGCCTTGTGGCGCCGTCTCGTAGTGGGGAGTCGTACCGAGCCAATGCTGCGATGCGGTCTCAGCAATCGAGTTAGTGTATACTTACATGTCTCAGAAACCTCGCGCTAGCTGTAGGCAAGCTTCAGGCACCAGCAAATCCGAAGACTCAGAATCTAGTTAGGTCCTACTGTACTTTTCTTGAGCTGGCAATTGAGACTCTCCTACGGCATTGAGCCGGAGTTCAATCAGCTCCCTACAATATGACCAACGGGACGAAACAAGAAACAAGATGATGGGCTTCCACTGGCCACTGGTGCCGTTGGGGTTGTTACTTTTGCCAGTGGAGAAAGACAAAACTGCGCCCTGTACTGCCGCAGGAACTATGAAGCCTATGATTCTAGTTCTTCACTAGTATGGAGCTTTCTCGTGAGAGACGTCACTTCAAAGCGAGCTATCAAGACGCTAGATAAGTGTTTTAAGACATATCCAAGCCTTTTTCATACAAGCGACTCTCCTATACATCACTGTCTTCGGCCGAACCCTCATGTCACCAATATCGTATTGCAGAGCTCAAGCCCTCATCCAAGAACACGAATCCATGGATCGTGTTGCCTTCGTGTCTCGTCTCTCCATATCTGGAATCCTGATCTCGTCCATCTGCTGGTACTATGCGGTTTCTCGCGGCGTCGATCCTGACGTGAAACACATTCTATGGTGTCACGCTATCTCCACCATCTTCCCCCTCTTTTGCTACCGCTGGCCAGCGCATCAACGACCGACCACTGCCTGATTTGCGGTATCTTCTGCATCTTGATGACAGCGACACAGTATCCAACCTCACATCTCGAGAAGCAATGCGTGCAATAAGATCTCGTGAGGTTGAAGGAGCTTGTCTCTTACAGGGATTGGATCGGTTATTCAGATGTATGCGACGTACGGAAGGATGGGGGTAGTGGGCCTGATTGATATTGGCTAGAAATTAGGACTTATCCACAGCCTCTAAAGACTGTAAAGATTTCAACAGGTCGCATTCAGACTAATAGTACAATTTCCCACCATGTATAACTTCAAACCTATCTCCTTTGCATCAGAGCCGATCCGGGTGTCTTCGTTAATTTACATTAGATAGAACGACTGGTGCTTTCTCTTCTACCATCGCCTTATTATTTCCTGCATCCCTGGATTAGACATTCTTCAGACTCATCTATTGTGCTTTCATTTGCTACCCTTCCATTCTATCCTGTTAGACCCGCGAAAGGAAGCAAAATTTAAAGTTACTATTCACTCGTGCTTAGCATGGATAATAGCTGTTTCGTTGCCATCTGTCAACGGAGAAACAAAAGATGTTCCAGCGTCCATCTACCCTAGGCCTCCGTCACAACCAACATGCGGCGCTACAGAGCTCAACCTGGAATAATCCCAACCGATCCATCACTCCGTCTTTAAGCCAATCCGCCCAACATTCCGCAACCCCCACAACCCAACACCACAAGCCCCCAGCATTAGCCCAAAGCACGTCCAGAAGACGGCGCGGTAGCCAACCATGAGTGCCTCGGGGGACTGCTTGTCCGCAATCGAAGAATCCCGCGTGACACCCGCAGAGATGATGGCGAAGATAGTGAGTCCGAGAGAGGTTCCGAATTCCGCGATCGTGTTGAAGACCGCACCCGCCAGGCCTCGCGTCTGGGGGGTGAAAGCGTCCGCGACTATCAGGTTGGCGATGGTGAAGATCACTTTTTAGATGTACCAGGGGCCATTAGAAAGTTGGTCTCATGTTTGTGGGGGAAAGGGAAAAAAGAGAGGCTTTGGAGACTTACCATCAGCCGATAGGGGACTTAGCAGGACCGCCCAGAAAGCGCAATACCACCAGGACCATTGAGGGTCGATGATAGCCATGAGCAATGGAGACCCAGCGCTGAGCAGTGAGCTCACAAGCACCAAGTGATTCGCATGCACCCGATGAACCAGGAGGCCTGTCCCCAGGTTCAGGAGAACTCCGATGATGACATTCGGTAGGAAGCGAAGAGCAGACTGAAAGCCCGATAGCTCTTGAACCTCTTGGAAGCTGCCGGATGGTGGTTAGAGATAGTTCTTCCCAACATGCAGCTGGGGCTGCGTCATTTGGGACCAACCTACAAGAGACTGAGAATGGTTTCCACGCCGTTCAGCACCGCCCAGGAGAAAAGAACAATGACACACATGGACGAGAAGGCCGTATTCTTCCACAGAGAATTTGGGATCAAAGCAGGCTTTCCTGCCCGTTCGCGCCTGCCCATCCAGACCCAAAACCCGGGAATCATGGCGCCCGCGCAGCAAAGCAGGGCGATATTCTGAGCCTTGTGGACATTTGAAGGGTCGTCAGAGATAGTACTATAACCATTGTTAGCAGGTTCCGCCCGCCGCCAAGGGTGCTAGATGTGTAAATCACATACGCGAAAACATAGGAGATGATTCCTAAGCAAGAGCTTGAAAGGATTATGCCAATCCAGTCGATCTCTGCTCTTAGCCTGCGCAAAGTGATGGGTTCACGGGCGGCATCCGGTGGAAGTTTGAAATAGTTGATTACCATGAGAGTGCCGGTAGCGCCGGCGCAAAGATAGAAACCGAATCTCCAACCTAGTGAGGATCCTTGGAAAAGACCCCCAAACACAAGCCCGACCGCAAATCCCAGAGGCTGTCCGAGACCCAGGCAAGCGAAGCCGATGTTCCTTGGCTTGCCCATTGGTAAGGTCTGTGTCAAGATGCTAAAAGCTGTGGGAAGACACATCGAAGTTGCGATGCCTTGGAAGGTCCGGAATAGGATCAGCTGGATCCCAGACTCTGCTACTCCGCATCCTAGAATGAAAGCGGCGAGCAGAAGACATCCCAATAGATTGATCATCCGGTTCCCCATGAGGTCTGCCATTGATCCTGCTAGAAGCAGGCAGCATCCGTTCGCGAGACTGCGGCGTGCTTAGCAATGGATTACCTACGACGGAGACTGGCCACTTACTGGTACACCGATACCGGCCTAGTAGCATCATATATGCTCTTGTCAGACAGCCGAGCCCAGTTTGAGACGTATAGCACTGTAGAATCTTACCACATCAATAGGTTATCTGGTAGGCTCAAATCGGCTGCTATCACAGGTAGTCCGATAGTTGAAAGCCCGCTGCTCATGCTTCCGACAAATGTGATGCCAGTGAGGGTCGTGATGAGAATCACCATTCTGCTGCGCGACAGTGTAGTCGCTTGCACATCTTGGGTACTGTCGATTGACTCTTGCTGTTCGGACAGGGAGGTTCGAGGACGCGTTGTGTGTTGAGACAACAGACTTAAGTCACGCAAATCTAGGACCGGGTCTGTTGTCTGAGCGATAAAGAGAGATTGAGACATGATTTCTCCGTCCTGAAGGCCGTCCGCAAGCGAGTATGTGAACGGAGGTAGTCGATAACATCGCTCGGGTAGGAACACTTGAGTTTATGTTTCGGCGTCAAGATTGATTGAATCGGAACAGCCCGCAACAGCGACCCGGTTGGCGTACCGACTGTGATAATACGTTGTCGGGGTAGCGGGGCTCGCTAGCTTCATAGGCGAGATCAGACGCGCGCTCCAACGCTAGCAAGAGCTAAACCAGGGAAGGGAGGTCGACGACAGACTCATCATATTCTCTATCTACCTACCTGATTTAGAGAGCTCCTCGAGATGCGTTATGGAAGGTAATTCCGGAAGCCCGGGAAAAGAAGCGGGCACATAGTTCACTAACTAGGTATCCGCTGAGTAAGCTGCACTGCAATGGGTGCACAATTTCGGTTGTTGCTAAGAGCTTCTTCCATAATGTATAGACCGCTGGCATCCATATCAGCCCTATATCCTGATAAATCAAGCACTTGGAGACTTTACGTGAGATCATCAGTGCTCCAGAGTTATAAGACTCTGACCACAAGAGAATGTGGCTTGAGCGAAAATACATCATTGTGGCTACGGAGGGCTCTGTCACGACGACTTGACTCTATACCCCTGTTTCGATAGGGGACAGTGTTTCAGTTTCTAGGCGACGCCGGACTAGAAGATATGAATAGTGACATAGTCCGGGCTGCCACCTCAGCTGAGATTTAGAACATGAGGCGTGAAAGCAAAATTGATGAGAAGAGATGGCGCGGACCTGGGAGAGCAACACCTGAGGTATACATAGAAGTAGCGGAGGTAAGTCACTTCATCTCGACCAAGAGGTAAGGACAGAGAGACAAGACCACTAGTGTGAGGGAGCCTCGGTGGAATCGTCAATATCACAGTAGTTGTTGTTAGTGACTAAGACCAGCGTGTGGTCTGTACTACCATGAGCCGACGTGCTGTAGCAGGTACAGTACACCAAGCCGGTTCATTTCTCCAAGCCTTGCCACGCTGCATCTACATCTTCATCCCTGTATCCATCTTTCAGAATCTGGTGAATGCTATCATCAAGTAGCGCGGTAGCTCATGGTTATATGGCCTTGACGAACTTGGTGAATGAGACAAAGAACATTCACCTTCGGGTTGCTATCATAACAACATGCAACTACCATGCATGAAGATGTCTCTAAACGCCGAGGTAACCTGGCATACTTCATGTCTCAACCATTCTCTAATTACCACACCTACTCATCCCGCCCCTCTATAGCCCTCGTATGCATAAGTAGACTGATCATCGTGGTGGGAGCAAGAAGGTCTACGAATCAGCGGCTCCCCAACTCGGCCTGAGATACCCTTGGAAACAACAACGCCACCCCAGCGTCAATCAGTCCATCCTAACGCCTTACGGCAGCAGTGCCTGGGGGCCATCTGGTCGCACAGTAGAGATGATTGTCACTCGTACGGGAAGAGGGGAGCTCAACCGGCGGTCGGTTCCAGGGGCGACATCAGCGCCAGCGTCGACCCGGACCATCAACGCCAACCAATAACCACCCATCCATCCAATCATCCAGATCATCGCAGAGCAGGGATAAAGGGTGGTGCAGTGGTATTTGTTCCCAGCTGTTTGTGCTGCATCGCACACCCTCTCGTGACTACCCCGCGTTTCTGGTGACGAGACGAAGGACATATAAACCTTGTGTCACCCAGCACCTCTGTCAACACAACACGGTTGAAAGAGCTTGTGGTCTTGACTTTCCTTCCTACAACTCACAGCTCTTTCTCCCTCTCATCCTTAGATTCATCACACAATTCATCTACCCTCTCAACCTCGAAGATGTCAGCCCCTCAGATCATCCAGGGACTCTCGTCCGCTGGATCCACCCTGGGTGCATACTCCAGACAGCAGCTGGCGACTCTGCGCAACCGCTTCCTCAACACAGGTAGGAGACAACAACAACAACTTCATCAAAGTGAAGGCGCCAGGAGCCAAGGTATCTAACCCGTTCATCCAGAGAAGCGAAGAACAAGATACCAGCTCGTTCAGACTTCGTTTACCGTTCACCGACCGGTCTGGATTGCCGCGGGCGGTGCGGCCTACACAACCATGGGCGCCGTCTACCTTACCCTACGCTACATGCGACATTTAAAGTAGACCTTTTATGTTCACCTCACGCGACTTTCGCAGGGAAGGGAAGGGGGTTCAGCAGATCGAGTCTAGCTGTCCGAGGCAGTCAGACCTCGTACTTTCGACGACACTAGTCACATTGTCTTTCAAACCAATCATTCCATTTATCGAGGGAGGCTTTCGAGGACGGGATCTTCCAGGTGATGACCTACCGGCGTTTAGGAGGGTTCTGTTTATTTTTATCGAGGGGGCGAGGAGATGGAACACAGTACTTCAGGTGTACTTAGCTACTACTACTGCCTAGTATCTTCTTAGCATCATGCATCATTAATCTTATGAGTCAAATTCACAAAGATAAATGTCGTATAGAGAGGGGCACTGCGTAATAAGAGCATCAGCCCGCCAGCCTCAGGGAGGGAGGGTTGAGGCAGGGTCAGCGTGGACTACAGCCTGACCCCCGGTAGACTTCAGAATTCATGTCCCTTTTGTTACTTCGGTTGGGTTGGATGCAGCCAATGCGCTCGCGTTGTAGGACAGGGATAGGCGTCGCAAACAGGCAATATAGGCCAGGTCAAGGGTTCAGCACACCGAACAGGCACACACGACAGTAATATACTCTAAACCCAACCCATCCATTGGATCCCACCGGACTGCGTCAGTGGCTGCTCATGCCATAGTCACTGATTGTAGGTCAAGGTGGTCTGATCATCATTCGTCCACTCATCCATCACCTTGACAACAAGCATTCTCCCTTCCTACATATGAAGCCTGGGCTGTGAATAAATGTCCCCCGGGCAACAGAATCCACCACGCGCCTGAGCCCCTGAATCCAGACCTCGAAGAAACAAGCCATAGGTAATGTTCACCGGCGCCGGATGGAAGTGGGCCACTACCCCAGATTTTCTGTTTCGGCAACTAAGGTTTCGTCCTTTGAAGCCGGGTCGCTCCTTTTTCGCTTCTAGTCTACTCCTGTCTGAGAATATTACCGTGATGGAGGGTGGCCCGTGGGGAGAAGAAGGGGGGCTAGTAATCAAGACACGAGTGAATGATTTGCTGCAGTCGGCCTGTCTCTTTGACATTTGTGTTTTACCCCGCTTTCTGCAGTGGCCAGTCACGGATGGAATTTGGGCAGGTCTTGTTGCATGATGAATTCTCCCCGGATCCGTGGCTACCCCGCATTGACTGGAAAGTCGAAGTTGGAACCTTGAAGCTGACTACCGCTGCCTAAATGATACTTAGCCAGTTACTTGGCTGGTACTTTGTCGTGACTGGACTCGAGAGAAAGGGGCAATCTTTACAATCGCTTGTAGAGGTTCTATCAGGCCTTCTTATAATCGATAAAGTATGGTACCTGGGGGGTGTAGCGTGTGCCATATTATTTCATGCCTCCAACCACTTGTTTGAGCTACTTTAGTGGCTCGATCGCTGGGTACCGTACGGTTGAGGTTGATTACCCCTCATGCAGGGCAACATGGTGCCAGATATATCTTTGACCTGCTATCTGGCAAAGGATGACCGGGACGAGATTGTCTTGTCAAATATGGTAGGGTGGCGAAAATAGGAATAAATACAAGCACAAAAGACAAGAAGTCTTAGATTAACTGTACTGACATGGGAAGAGAGAGGGAGTGATAGGGTTCCATTCAAACAAAGAAAGTGCAGTGTTGATGATGGCTCCCACTCGAGATCTAACCAGATTAGGACTGCAAGAGAGGTCCGAGTCTTATGACCTGATGTCAAAAGCTGTGGGCTGAAAACAGCAGATAAACAAAACATTTTTCAACAGCAAGGCCTGCTGGCCCAATGGTAAGGCGCTTGACTACGAATCAAGAGATTGCAGGTTCGAGCCCTGCGTAGGTCATTTCTTTTTGCTTTTGCCCGCTCATACCCGGCTCCCCTTCTCACTTGTTGAGTCTCACAGTCTCGACATGCCTGGAACCTGCTTAAGGCACCTCATTGAGTGGAGAGTGTGTTATTCCAAGACAGATAATTGTTGGCAGCCTGAAAGCGACCGTGAAAGCGCGTATAGGTCAGCTGTTGCCACAAGCCATTCACTTCACATTCACCCGTCTCTCGCTAGAACCCGCTCGACATCACCTGGAAGATCATATTCAAACAACGCCTCCTGCTGCTCTTTGAAGACTTTTGGAAAGCAACCTATTCCCGCGATCATCTTCGGCGTCAGCATCATAATTTCTTGTCGCCAAGCTCGAGTACCACGATAGAGCACTCACCCATGAGCCACATAAACGTATACATCACATACTCCTGCACAAGCCCCATATCCCGCTTCCGGTCCTGCATATTCTTCGCCCTCGAAAGGATGGTTTCCACCCTCGGCCGTCTCATCGCCTCATACTGTTTTGCAGCAACCTTGATGGCTTCCTTCTCCACTCTGCCACTAAACTGCTGCCCTTCCTCAGCATACACCCGCCGCAGCTGATGCGCAAGGAACATGACCAGAGCTTCGACATCCTCCAAAGCCTGCGACGACCCCTGCCCCGAGGTCGGCGGTAGCGAATGTGCAGCATCGCCGACGAGCACGACCCCGTCCCGCTCCCAGGTCGGCAGCTGCGGCGAGGTCCAGGTCGGCCACATGCTCTCCACGCGGATCTCACGGATGATCCTCTGGACCACTGGATCCGTCCAGCTGGCGTACCGCTCTCGCAACTGTCGAGTGACATCATCTGTATCGATACTCCTGGAGTGGGGAGGACTCTTCTCGGTCGCGTACGTCGACCACCACGCTACTGAATCCCCCGGCTGCGAGACATGGCACGGCGAGGCACGATATGGGTCCGAGCTCGCACTTTCCGCGTAGAAGTAGCCGAAGAAGCCGTTCCCGCCGAAGATGAAGTTCATTGACCCCGTCTCGACGAGGTGTTTGACGCTCTCTGCTGGGATGAAGCCGCCCACACCGACCAGGCCTCTGCACCCAGACTTTGAGTCAGCAATTCCGGGATTGACCATGGGTATGGGTATATGACCGGAAGGGGACATACTCGTAATGCGGGGGATACGGGTCCGCCTCCGCCTCGGCAAACAGCGCATGCTTAACCGTGCTTTTCAGCCCGTCGGCCCCGATCACCAGGTCCGCATGCACGGGGGAACTGTCATCGTCGAAGCAGACGCGATTCCGCCCGTCCGCGACGGCGACCACCCGCGAAACACGCTTATTGGCGATCGCCGTGTCGGGCACGGCGCGGCGTAGACGGCTCCAGAGCGCATGGCGGCTGATCGCGAGCATGTGCATTCGAGGTCTCCGATCTGGGCCCTGGGGACAGCCGCCTGTCCCGGATGATTCTAGCTTGACGAGGAGCCGACCGTGCTTGCTTTTCAGATTGCTGTGGTCGACCATGTATCCACTGCTCACGATGTCGCGCAGCAGATCTGCGTCCAGCCGGTGGAGCACGTGGAGCCCGTTGGGGCCGACACCGAGACCGCCCCCCACGATCAGGGTCGACGAGTGTGTGGTACCCTGCGCTCGCTCATGCGATGTGGTCTCTGGAGATGTATTGTAGGGCTCGTAGATTGTGTATTCGTGGTCCGGGGCCGGCGGTGCGGGCTTGGGGAGGTGCTTCTGCAGCGCGAGGTACGCCGTCAGCCCTGAGATGCCACCGCCCACGATGACGATTTTCATGGCTTGTGATCCGCGATACTCAAGACGACTGATGAGGTATGTTGAACTACAGATCTGTAGCGATTCTGCTGAAGGTCTCCTCCACTGCTGATTGCGATGAGAAGGTTGAAACGATGATGTAGGTCGAAATACGAGCCACGGATCATTCGGCACAAATAGAGTTTCCCAGCCTTACTGTGCCTTCCACGATAGCAGTTGGCGCTGGAGATACTTCACTCTTTATACTTTGGAACAAAAGTCATAATCATACGAAGCGACTTTGTCATCTACACGAATCCCTACTTATGGTGGTAGTGGGCTGAAGGGTTTCGAGCTGATTCGGTTTTGATCAGGAATTTCAACGAAAGAACTCCCATCAGAATGCCCTTGAGTCGCACAGTCAAGCATGATGCCATGACAGCAGCTTCTGAATCCGGGGAGCCGTCAAGTCATTAGTTCTGTTGGGATGCGATCGAGCGGCGTGCTCGATCTGGAAACACTCAGGCACTATTCAAATCCTGCTCAGAAAACACAAGGTCGTTACCAGTAAGGATCGATAATTTTTGGTCGCAGAGCTACGAAAGATGATCAGATCATAAGAGCTGTCGATATGCCCGCGAAACCAAACATGGTCGATGATCCGGAATCCTTGACCATTCCAGAGCCCTGATGCCCCGGCCAGCACGAGCTCCGTAGAAGACACGACCGCTTGCGTTCTGCTTGACAAGAATTTGAGGATTTGGAAGACTGAACCGTTTCATAATGCGCCTTCAAGGCGCGCATGAACTGTTGTGGAGAGAACAATAACCAACTTGTGAAGCAGAGCATTGCGAGGTCTTCAACATTCGAGGTGACAACAAGGGTTTATCTGCGGCACATGACATGAGGAAACCCCCTCGATGACAACCATATCCAGCGCGAAACCACGGTCTGTTGCAGCCAGCGGCCATTCCGGGCGAGGCCTTGCACTATTTGACGGACGAAAACGACTCAAAATAGACCTCGAGTGACGCTCACCCCTGCAAATCGGATCCGTTCGTTTTAGACTCGGAATGAGGATAGGGTTGGCTCTTACAGCGTAGGGTCCACCTAGACCCCTTCACCATCAACAACGCATCTAGGACTACTCAGAAACACCAGGTTTTCTACGTTGCTCGCCCCGGCGATGAGCGAGGTGCCATGGTCTGGCCCTGTTGTTCTCGCTCGGCCGAACATGCTAGAACCATGTTCAAGATAGTGGCAACTTGCAGCTGGCTGGTCACTTTGTCTAGATCACCTGAGCTCTAAACCGAGCGATTGGGCAAGGCTCTTGGCAAAAGCAGCTGCCCTGGCGTGAAAACCACGGCACCGTATAGACGGCTCGCGATCTCATACCCTGAAGCAATAGGGGCGCAAGCGAAACCAATAATGCCTGAGATTGTGCACTGAAGGGCGAAGACACAGCACAGACACAAGAAAATTCACCGCTCAGGTTGCGGCAGCTTGAACCGAACACGAACCAGCCACAATCGCGAGGAAAAATAGAACAATAGCGCGGCTGGCTGGAGCTGCATCGCCGCTGGTATGAAGCTTTCTTCTCGGGTTGCTTATCTCGATTCAGCTAGTGACCTGATCAGCCACCCACGACTAGTTCGGAGGTCGCCAGCTGAAGCGAGCGGCTGAAGCCCAACGCAGCCTTGAAATAGGGAGATACGACACGGCCTTCTCCACATTGGATTTTCATGGTGGAAGGGAGGGTGGAGCCGCTTCTCGCGTCTGTATCGGCATCTCCGCCAGAGGTAAGAATTGCCGACGCCGCCAAGGGAAAAACCACGCCCAGATCTCAAATCGCTGGTTTGTTTTGGATACTGTTTTCGCGACATCAGGGAGTGCTCTGTGCTCTTTGCACGCGATTGACTTTTTTCTCTTCCACTCGTGGACGCTTGACCAACTGTGACGCCCAAGAACCCTGAACATATAAAGTCAAGGGTCGATCGACAGGATGATCCTCTCCGGCCGTGCCATCCGGAATACCCACATAGTGTCTCCTCGTCAGAGCCAAAGAGACACTAGAACTATACATCCCCCAAGATCACGATGAGCTTCGTGCAGATCCCCTTCTTCGACACCTACTACAAGCACCTCTCCACCTACCGCCATTCCCTCCGCGCGCGCAGCACAAACCTAGCCAGCACCATGCTGGGGGGCCACGGGGTTCCTGCAGTGGACATTAACTCAATCGACAACCAGAACCCCGACCCCTCCACAAGCATCTACCCGCGCGTCTCCGAACGCGACGCCCCTTACTCCGTCCCGGAATCCTCCCTCCGCGCCGCCATCCACATCCCCGCCGACTTCCAATACGGCCGCGACGGCAAGACGCCCGTCCTCCTCGTGCCGGGGACGGGCACCCACGGCGGCGAAGCGTACGCGCCGAACCTGACGAAACTGCTCCGCGACAGCCCCTTCGGCGACCCGGTGTGGCTGAACATCCCCGGGCGGATGTGCGACGCCTCCGCGCGGAACGCCGAGTACGTCGCCTACGCGATCCACTACCTCTCCGCGCGGTGCAGCACCCCCCGAATCGCGGTGATCGCCTGGTCCCAGGGCTGCATCACGACGCAGTGGGCGCTCAAATACTGGCCCAGCGCGCGCGCACCCGTGCAGAGCTTCGTCGCCCTCGCGGCGGATTTCGCCGGCACCGTCGCCGCGTGGGCGCTCTGTCCGTTCCCCGGCACCCAGCCGGGCACCCCGGCCGTGTGGAACCAGACCCGCAATGCCGGGTTCATCAAGGCTCTGAGGTCGGGCGGCGGGGATTCGGCGTATGTGCCGACGACGTCCATCTACTCCGCCACGGATGAGGTGGTGCAGCCGCAGTCCGGGCCGGGGGCGTCGGCGTTCCTGGAGGATGCCCGCGGCGTCGGAGTGACGAATTGCGAGCTGCAGGCGCATGTCCCGCGCGCCTCGCCGGCGGGGGGCCGGTTCTGCTCCCATGAGGCGGTGCTGTATCACCCGCTGGCGTGGGCGCTGGTGGCGGATGCGATCCAGCATGGCGGGCCGGGGAGTCTGGGCAGGATTGATCTCGGGTCGGTGTGTATGCGCGGCCGGGCGGAGGGCATCGGGTTGGTCGATGCGGCGCGCACGCAGGCGCTGGCGGCGGGCGCGCTGAAGCGGATTCTCTTCTTCTCGCCGAAGTCCTGGCGTGAGCCGGAGTTACCGGGTTATGCTGTTGGGGAGGAGAGGGTTGAGGTCGAGGGGGCGGCGGTTGGGGACGTGGTGAAGGGACCGGCGGTGGTTGTTTCGGAAATGTCGGGGTTGGTTTCGGTATAGCAGGTTTGGGATGGACTGTTACATGGGTTTGGCGTTGGAAAGCGGGAGGGTTGGGTATATTCTACATGGTTAGATTCCTGGTATGGCGTTGCTAGAGCCCTTTTGACTGGATTGTACATATGATCATGATATTTCTGTTTTCTTCACATAGGCAACCTTTAACAAGGATGGTGGTGTTCTGTAGGCGTTGACTTTGCCCTAAGCCGTGTGGCTATACAGTGGCTGACGCATCAGCGCAATGTGTTTTAAGGGGGGTTTGGAGACAAATGGCATGGTGTCCCATACATCTGCTGCGTTGTTGAAGATACTGGTATAGTTAAGAGAGGAACACGAACGATCAAAGTCCAGCTAGAGCAAAAATTAAGCCAATACCCATAAAACACTGCGGCGTACGGAGGAGTCTGCATGCTAATGAATGCATAGTCAGTATGTGGATCGCCTGGACCCATTACATCATTTACCCCTGTCAATTGGCCTGCGCAGGAGAACAGGCGTTGCTCACCTACTCAGTACAAACTTATATCCACCGTATTCATAGACCGACTCGTTACAAACGAGTGTGATAATACTGAATTCGAGTCTGGGAGCATGGTGACACAACACCTCGTAATGTTCAACATTCACCAAGGACAACCCATGATCACCTACCAAATAACCGTAGCGATAGCATACTCAGGAGCTCCAGGGTGGAACCCCGATCGAACAGAAAGATCGGACAAAGACGCCTGGACTTCGATCCAGAGGAAAGCGGAACGAACACCCAGCAAAACGCGTCAAAAGTGGATAGTATTCCCGGTCGCGCAGACAAAAGCCTGGTGCCATTTCAAGGTAAAACGAGCTTCTCGTATAACCCAGAAAAGTTCATCCTCTGGCTTTATGGTGTCGCGTACGATTCCCCAGGAACCAAGGCTCCACCCGACCGGATCAGTCGCGCGGTGATGGTCTGTCTGCGAAGGTGGCAACTTTGCTGAGATGAGGCATCTGGTGCCGACGGGGTCTGGAAAAAGGGGCAGGGGTGTATATATAGCAAACCATGGGTGGATTAATTTCTTACATGTCATCTAAACCTTCTTGATCCGATTCTGCTCTGGAGGCAAGAATAAATTAATTAAGGGTTTGGCGGTTGCGAGGTTCGCTGTAGCCTCTCCATGTTGCATGCAGAGACGATGTGGGGCCTGGGCCCTAATCTCAATCAACAATGTGTTCCCCTCTGCGGTGCAGATGTTGTCATTGCAGATGCGGGGGATTTTGAACCATTGATTATCGACATGAATATGACAGGATAATGCCAGCGCAGTGTGAGTCGGTCTGAGAGAGCATGAGCCGGGCCAAAACAGAGACACAGCTACAAAGAAATGACATAGGAAAATCGTAGGCCAAATGTGATACTCGTAATTATCGACAGCGGCTGTTACTACAATAGGTAGATGTAGTGACGGGCTTGAGTCCCGCTGATATCATGGGTGTACTAAGCCTTTTAACAATTGACCCACAGCGTGCAACTGCCGAGTTGGATCACTTAATTGGGTGGCCACGAGTTATCTGTGTGAGATGTGAGCAGAGATTGCGGCCGTGACGTGGTGGGTGCAACTGTGTTTTGAGTCGGTTGATTATTCATGGCTGGCTGCTCCTGACGTCACGTTGCCGATCCCGAGCGGACCCTGTTCGTGGCCCATGGCTCCGCTTTCCTTCTTTCATCAATTCTTACATTCTTACTTTAATACTCCTGTTCATTCATTTTATCGGAATCTATCTTCAAACAAATCCTTCTGTTCTCCTCTCATTTCATCTCACCTGCCCATACTACCACCCCTTCCTCCGCTCCGTTCTACCCCCCACACCACACACCACACGCAACACGCAGCAATGACAGTCATCTGGGGCCTGGATCTCAAGGAGATCCAATGGAACAAATTCAAGAGTTCCAACATGTTCACCCGCATCTACCACCTCCGTCGCACCAAGATGATCGTCTACCAGCTGGCCATGATTCTGTGCGTGTGCTCCGAGTCCACCGGCACGGCCGCCTTATCAGGTAACTCCAACCCAGTCCTAGGTATAAGATATCGTGCAAGAACCAATCCTAATGACTTGGCTCGCAAATAGACTACGTCGACCAACAAAGCTACATCGAGCGCCATCACCCAGGCGTATCAGTCTACAACAACGACTTCGTCGGGGCGGCCTCCTACAACATCTTCGTCGGTGTCGCCGTCGCCACCATCTTCGGCGCCGCCTTCTTCTTCGATCTATTCTGGCCCGAGCGCCACGAGAGCAAGTCCGTCCGTCTGGCGTGGAAGATCTGCGGTGTGGTGGTGTCCATCATGATGCTTAGCTCGGCGTTGACGATGACGGTATGCGGTTCCTGCCGAGATCAAAATTTTATCAGAGAGAATGATGCTAAACTCTGCCTCCCCAGATAATCACGGCGACAAGGAGTGTCCAGGTCCATGGCACGGATGCCGCCGGCGCGAGAGAGTTCTGGTCCGAGTCGAAGAAAAAGCCTGCTTTCGGTGCGTGCACCTCTCTCTCTATCTGTCATCAGAAACTCATGTACTGACGGTGAATGGAAACAGTGTACCGCAAGAACCCCAAAGCCCTCGCCTCGGTGGTCCTCGCATGGCCCGGCTGGGTATTTACCGTCGTCAGGTATGTGCACCCACCAACCACGTTCCTTCTTGACGAACCCCCTCCCCCGGTTAACCCAATCTCCTCCCGCAGTGCCATTATCCTAATCGCCTCGCAAAACCACGACGACGTCCACGGCCCCAAGTCCAACTACGGACGCCAGATGGAAGGAGGGGAGAAGATCCCCGAGCCCGAGCCCGCCAATGGCCTACATAACCAGACTCTGCGGGAGTAAGCGAGCCATAGACTGGTTTCGATGATGATACAAAAGAGATTCCCCACGATATTTGTTACGACTCTTTCAGGAAGCACAGGGATGGTTTTGTTTTGCCAGGGATATCAGCGTTTGGATTGTATAGATACGGCGTTCTAGGGATCTTGTTTCATCCTTGATTTGGCTTTGGGATCGTGAGGACCAGGGTCACGATTTCGGCTTGGTTAACTTCGTTTCAGCTTGATTGTACAGTACACTATCGATTATCCCCTACCTGTAATTATAGAACCGACCACCACCACCACCACCTGGCGAATACGATTAATGAATTGATTCCACACATTTACGTTTTACCATATACTTTCCTAATCAAGATTTAGATTCGCTTCTGGAACCGGATGCCGAGCGATGACGCGCGAGGACGATGACTAAGGCATCAATCAACCTTACAAATCCATCCTCGTATCCGTACTTCGGATCGAACCCCGTCGCGGCGATGACGTCTGTTTCCCCCCTTGCCAGGAACCCTGGGCCCGATTCCGGCATTAGTTCTCGGAGGGCAAAGATCGGCGGGGGGAAGGGGAAGAATACGCCATCCATTCCGGAGAGGGGGTTTCCTCTACGGTAGAACTCTGAGCCAAGCAACGATGCTAAGATGGGACAAGCGTGAGGTGCCATGAATGGATCTCCGTGCGTTGACGTATTGCGCCCGGACCACCGGAGCTTTGGAGGGAAGTGATCGGCTACACATGTCATTGTTCATGGCGATCTTTCTCGCTTATAGAAGTTCACTTTACACAGTGCATGAGTTGTAGCTGAAGGGGATCCGAGAGATAGCGGGGGTTGCATTCAACCCCGCGTCACATGAACCACCCGCAGGCTTCGAATCGCATCTCCTTGGTCCGAACTCTCTTTTCAAGTATAAGTGGTCGCAACAGCGGGATACCGATCCTCCCCGTAGGTCGAGTTGAGGCTGACCTGGCCCGAGACCGATCCGTCCTCCAGCCGGATCCAGGTCGCGATCTCCGTCGCCAGGGTCGTCTCGTCCAGCAGGATCTGTCGGGACCCCCGCGTCCAGGACCCGTACCCGCCGTACCCGGTGTGGCGCCCGAAGCACAGGTTCAAGCCGTTGCCGGTGAGGTTCATCCCGGGGAGCTGGGAGTCCCATTTGAAGCACCTGCCCGGAAAATTCAGTTCCTGCTCGGAAGATGACGCTGCAAGGGGGGAATGAAGGGCTCACCAGTCATCACCGTGGTCGTGGCCGCTGAACGTGGCCAGCAGACCCTCGGTGTTCAACAACGCCTCCATGAACGGGATATCCTGCCCCGAGTAGCTGAACACCGTGCCGGATACCTCGCCCTGCCCGCTGGCCTCGCCTTGCTGATCTAGGGGAACGTCGGCGTTGATGCCCGGTTCCGAGTGAGCGTCCACGCCCTGGTTCTGGAACGCGAGCATTGCGTTCACCGGGATGTGGTAGAAGGCGATCGAGGGGATCACTTTGCCGTATTGCTCGGTGAGGTCGGCGTTGGTCTGCGTGAACCATTCGACTACCTGCCCGCACTGGTGAGCGATTGCATGAAGGGAGGCAGTAGAGCCGAGGCTCATGTGCTGTACTCACCGACTCATCCACCCAGCACGGTTGCGGCACTTCACTTCCATTCTCCAGCTCCTGGAAGTAGTTCCCACCGCGGCTGTCGAAGAACCATATGATTAACGCTGGCGTAGTCGCTGAGGAATTGGAAGGGTACACGGGGAGGTAGTAGTTGGAGACCCCCGCGAGCTTCCCAGTAACCATGCTTTGGGTCAAGCTGTTGGAGTACGATTGTTCCCGCTCGAGGATGGCGCTGCGCGACAGATTGTAGTCGCTATCGTGATTACCGTAGGTGGACGCCCACAGCAACTGGCGCTCAACCAGAGGAGCGACGATCTCGTCGATGTAGTCGGTCGCATTGGCTAGAAAGGTGTTGTCGCCGGTAATCAGGTCGCCGTTCAGGATGACCAGGTCCGGGTTTTCATTATCGAGGATGGTGTTGATCACCGCAGTACTTTCGACGTCCTGGATCGGTCCCCAGGTTGTGTCTTCCGCTAAGGGTATAGTCAGTAACGATTGTGCAGAGGACGAACAACAGACAGCTCACCCTCGCCGTAATGCAAGTCCTCAAAGATCGACAATTGGAACGTGCCGTCGCTGGTGAACTGGAGGCGGGTCTCGGACTGGTCTGTGGATCTGATGTTTGGCAGTGCACAAATGCCAGTCGCAAGGCCTAGAAGAGTCAACACAATGTAGTGCACCATGGTGACAGCGCCTCGTTAGATGATTCGGTGGTGGAAGTGACCAGAACAGGCCCATGCTGGGATAGGCAAATATATAGCTCGATGAACAGCAGCATCCTCGGCAACCTGCGGAGCACACGTGCGCATGAATCTATTCAGGAGCCACCACCACGTTTCCTCGGTTGCTGAAAGCGATGTAGCTCACAATCAAACCACCCTCCCGTTTGCTTTCCAGCATGGAGCACGTTGTGGCATCCCAGTCAATAAGAGGCATGACGGGCCGGCGCCGGCGGCCGCTAATTGCCGCCGTTCCTGCACTGGGCCCCGTAGCTGTCACTATCGTGCTGTATTTTCGTTGCCGATTGGGCTCAACAAAAATGCTCGTAGATTAGCATAGAGTGTTCTTGAGGAACAATACAATTGGAGTGATGATGTAAGTGGTTGCCTCGAGGTGTAGTAGACCTGGAATGTACTGTACAGTAAGGTAGGTTGCCGAAGCGACGATCGGAACCGCGCCTTCGACACCTAAGGCAGCCAGCCGTCCTGAGGGCGTCATCCGAAGCTTGAGGGATATTTATACTGACTCCACATGATATCCCCTTGGGCTAATAACATATTCTAATTCGAACAGCTTTGGTTGACTTGATATGATCGTGTCCTCCGCCACAGCATAAGTGAGCTCAAACATGCCCACCGTATTCTAAGGCCGCAAACGCCTCCAAGCCACGCCCATAACAAATATACCTGCGACAGCGATCGCGGTGGCCAATTTTTTCACGCTCTTGCCTTCAAGCTCCCAGTAGCCAAAGGAGGCAGGTGAGGCATCAGTGCCCTTACATGATGTCTCCGGTGCCAATTGTACATCAACCTTGTCATTCTTGTGTTCATCGCCATGCGGCTCTTCCTCTTCCTCATACCTTACATCGGTCGCTTCGCCAATATCAGCATAATATTCCTGTAATTGCACGATTTTCGACCGTACAAAGTCCTCACGGTCGCTGCAGAGTCCAATGTTTGTCGTGAAAGAGCGTACCCGGTCTACGATCGACAACCTCTCACCCCAGCAGTACTCATCCAGCAAGTCCCAGTACAGTAGATCGACAGATGAGACTGACCGGCAAGCGAGGTAGAACCAGGCACTCTTGGTGTCGATAGACTGTCTCATTCTTGCCGATAGTAGATCATCCTCCACACCCAGCCCTCTGGCTTTCTCTTTCAACTCCAGCGCCCGCAGAAAACAGTCGGCGCGCGACGAAAAAGACCGAAAGAACGCTTTAGGGCCTTCGTTGTTGAGGATCTTCTGCGGCCGCTCGAGAAGCAACCACCACGGAATACTGCCTGCGAACTGGGCAGGGGCAGCATAACAGAACTCCCAGTCGATGACGCCTGTCACGTGGAGGGAATCATCGACAAGCACATTTCCCGGACAAAGGTCATCGCAGAAGAGCTTGAATGGGCCGTCATTATCGGGGGGGCATATGAAGCGCAGTGCCACCGCTTTCAGCAGACAGCGACAAGCGTATTTCTCCCGACAGTCGATCGAATCATAGACACTGTTCCGCTGCCGCTCCAGCTGGGTGTCCTGCAGGCGTAAGAGAGAGTGTATATACTCCAGCGAGCTATGATAGACTCTCGACGGGGCACAATCGTCCAAGCCACAGGTCCTGATCAGTTCGTTAACTTCGAGCGTCAACGGTCTGCCTTCGACTTGGGTCGAGGGTGGTGCCCCATGCTCGCGAAGGCTACCGATACGACTGAAATCCAGGCTCCACAACTCCAGCAGAATCGCTGCCATTTCTCCATACAAGGTCTTCAGTGTCTGCGGGTCAATGTCTGGATTTAGTGCATCCTCCTTTTCAGGGGTATCGCCACCTTTGCGAAGAAGGTCGGACATCTTGGTGCCTTCTACCCAGGTCATGATAATGAAGGGGCCGAGACCGGTAGGGTTCTCCTCTGCTGTGCCGTATCCAATGACGCGCGGAACAGGGATGCGCGTCTTTTCCGCGATGTATTTCATCAGGACAGCCTCATTCTGGACCTTCTCATCCAGGAACATCGACTTTCCCGGCAGAGGGAATCTAATCAACCAATCTGGTCCACCATCCTCCCAATGAAGACGGAAGCTGAAGTTGAAGGACCCGCAGTGCATGGAGCGGAGGAAACAATCGTCGCGACCGCGGTACCTGCTGGCAAGTTGGCAGATACCTTGCGAGGAGGTTGAGCATTGAGCTATCCATTCTGTCTTGATTTTCTCGACCCTTGCAAGACTTATGTCGTCGAAATCCATTCTGGCCTCCAACCTTACTGATTGCTAATGTTTAGAAGGTCGGAGGAAGCTATCGAGGCCTCGCCAGGAAAGGGGTGATACGTCCGGAGCATTACCTCTTCCCATGCCGATCTGCCTTAAGGCATCAATTTCATCTACAGGAATGTGGGAGTGCATCTAGAATGTGGAATTCACTTCGTTATGCTAATCTAGATCTCATACATAACCATTTAACCCTGTACACCACGAACTTGACCACAGGGGCCATTGGACATCTGAATCGTGGCTGCAGAGCTGTGAATGGAGGCCTTGGCGTAGGTCGTCGCACTGTTGCAGGTGGTGGTGTGGATCAGGTAGCAGTAGGTGACTGACGACGTAACGTGGTTGTAGTACGACATGGCGCAGGTGCTGGACTCCTGGCAGCTGACGCAGCAGTCGTAGGCCGAGGCAGTGTTACCGACAGTTATACTCTCGCCGGGAACGTTGGTGAAGGACAGGAGATAAGTATACTGGCCGGCAAAGTTACCGTAGTCAGAAGAGAACGGCAGGCTTGGGACGTTGTTGGTAGCACATGCGCCGAGCACGGTGGTGCTGCTCACCACCGAGACGGTGTTGGTCGAGGTGACGGTGGTCGTCACAGCTGGAGCAGTGGCAGTCTCGGTGATGGTGGAGGTCGTGCTGAAGCTGAGGGTCGTTGAGACGTCACTGGGAACCACAACTGAGCTGGTGAGGACCGTGTTGGTCACCGTGGTCGTGGTGGTTGAGCCTGCAGCCGTCGTGGTGATGGGCACAGCAGTCACCGTCTCCACGCTGGTGGTCTTAACCACAATCTTCTCGTGACACTCCACAGCCTGGGGATACTGATAATCATCCAGCCATGCGGCGCAGTCTTCTTCCTCGGTGTCAAGAAGAGAGCGCTTGGCTGCCGTGGCAGTGGGCAGTGACTCAGCAAGTGGAGTGAACCCAGCTGAGGTAGTGACGGTGGAGGTAGAGGTGGTCGTGGTCGTCACCGTTGTGGCAACGGTGCTGGTCACGGCGGGGAGAGTGACGACCGTCGTTGACGTAGCGAAGTCAGTGGAGGTGGTCGAGAAGGTATCAGTGACGGCATCAGCGGTGCTCGTGAGAATGATGGTCACGTAGTCCGTGGATGTCACGGTTACCAAGGCAGGAGTCTCTGTCACAGTGCCCTGGATAGTCGAGGTGATAACGACTGCGGTAGGGTCATGGCGAGTACGAGTAATAGTGGATGTAGGCAGGACACCAGAGACAGAGCTTGTTCCCAATTTCGTATGGCAGTAAACACTGGCTCTGGCTTGAGATTGGATTTGGCTGCTGCTGGCCACCGGGGAACTCGAAGGCACCGGAACATTGGCCGCCGCCTGCCCAAGCAGGAGGCCCGCAACAAGGGGAATGAATTTCAGAGACATTTCGCACGGAGAAGGAGGATGCTTGACTCTGCTCATCGGTGTTCATTGGGGGGAGCGGAAGTTGCCCTAAATACCCTCTAGCTCCTCCTGACTTTTTCTCCCGTCGGCGTCCCCGTCGGCTATTTTCACCTCGAACTGACATGAATATCAATAGTGTGAAAAAACACGAGGAACTAACTCAGGAACAAGATCCTGATCTCCACTCACGATGAGCAATTTTATTCTGGCTCCATTATCGAATGCCGTAAATACGGCAGTCTTCACCATTCCCTCATCTCATTCCCCGTCCTTCCCAACCAACCCAACTTCCCCGTCATTCTTTCATTCTCGATGCATTGAACACTTTCGCACCCATTCTCTTTCTTTTCTTAATCTCTCTTTAAAATATCCTTAACCTATACATTCTTTATCTTTGAGGAGGAAAGCAAACCGTCATAGCAAGATGGCGCATCTGCTGGCGCGAGGATGGATACTTGCCGCATTGTTGGCGCAAGCCCTCGCCTTGACCGTTGATATTCAACCCACCACCACTGCTCTCGTTTCTACTCCGGTGGCCACAGCGACTCATCATCATTGGACCTATAGCTCCAGGCCATTGCCCAGTCGCAGACCCTGCAGCGCTCGTTCGTCTTCTGCGATTCCCTCATCTCTGGCAATAGCTGCCACTTCGTCCGCCATTCCTTCATCTGTGGCTACGCCTGCCGCATCGCTTGCCATTCCTTCGTCATCTCCCGTGAAGGTCACACCAGTGATTAGCCCTTCGGGCTCATCATTGTCTCCAGTGAGGACGTCACCTGCGGCCAGCTCCTTGATCCCCTCATCGCGACCAGTTCCAAGCCACTCTGCAAGCTCGCGGCCTCACTGGACTTACATCTCTCGACCTCTGCCGCACCGCAGCTGCTCGTCGATTCCGAGCTCGAGTGCCATCATTCCATCATCACAGCCTGTTCGAACTACTCCAGCTGCGCCGACGCTGACTGTTGTCACTGATGCTTCGATCCCGACTTCCACCGGTGCCGCTCAGTTGGGTACCACAGCTGCGACAACCTCGACTGCCGTCACTGATTCTTCCATCCTGACTTCCACCGGTGCCGCTCAGTCGGGTACCACAGCTGTGTCCAGCACCTCGGGTCCGCAGCTCACGACGTCTACGGTACTCACCACACGGACCGCCACCATCACAGCTTGCCCGACTACGATCCCCAACTGCCCTGCCAGCGCGAAAACGACCTTCGTGACCACGGAAACGGTGGTTGTGTCAACTACCATTTGTCCTGTGACCGAAGCGGCCACCACCACTCAAGCTGTGCCCACCTCGCCTGCAGGCGCTGGGGCCAATGGCCAACAGGGCAATGGTGGCTCTGAGCTGACCACCTCCACCGTGTTCACCACCCGCACTGCAACAATCACGGCATGCCCTTCCTCCGTGACCAACTGCCCAGCCCGGTCCAAGACTACCTATCTCACCACTGAGACCATTGTCGCGTACACTACCATTTGCCCTGTGGCTGAAGCCGCCACCACCGCTGAAGCCGTGCCCACGATCTCCCCGTCGCCTGCGCACACTGGAGCTCATAGTCAGGGCAATACTGGTCCCGAGCTCACCACGTCGACCGTCTTCACAACTCGCACTGCGACAATCACCGCCTGTCCTTCTTCTGTAGCCGACTGCCCCGCTCAGTCCAAGACAACCTATCTCACCACGGAAACAATGGTAGCTTACACTACCATTTGCCCCGTGTCTCAAGCCGCTAGCACCACCCAGACCATTCCCACCCTCTCCTCTTCACCCGCGGACGCTGGCGCTGACGGCCAGGGCAACAGTGGTCCCAAGCTAACCACGTCGACCGTCTTCACGACTCGCACGGCAACAATCACCGCCTGCCCTTCCTCTGTCACCGACTGCCCGGCCCGCTCCAGGACTACCTACCTGACGACCGAGACCATCGCAGCGTACACAACTATCTGCCCGGTGGCCGACGCGACCAGTGCTCAGGGAGCAAACCCCACCGCCCCGTCAGCTACAGGTCCAGCCGGTGCGAGTGCAGCAGGAAGCGGCCCCGAGCTGACGACGTCCACCATTCTGACCACGCGCACGACCACAATCACCGCCTGCCCGTCATCCGTGACCGACTGCCCCGCCAGATCGAAGACCGCCCAGCCGACCACGGAGACCCTGGTCATCGGAACCACGGTCTACCCCGTGACGAACAAGCCCACTGAAGTCCGCGGCGGCGGCAGCAGTGGTGCCGGTAACGCTCCTTCGCAGACGACCTCCACCGTCCTCAGCACCCGCGTTGCAACCGTCAGCGCCTGCGCCGAAGACGACACCAACTGCCAGACCTCGCAGGGCGCATACCTCACCACTGAGACCCTGGTCGTCGCAACGACCGTCATCCCGGTTCCCGCGGCCGTTCAGACCTCCATCCCGGCAGAAGGCGTCGACGCTGTCACCGCCGTCCCTGTGCCCACTACAGCTACCACTGCATCCAACGAGGGCATCGGAGCCGTCGGAGCCGGCGCAGGCACAGCTAAGACCTACACGACCACCATCACCGTGGACTCCTGCTCGAGCGACGGCACCTGCACCGGATACGTCAGCACGATCATCGTGTCGAAGACCGAGGTCGCTCAGTCGACCGTCGTCGGCGCGGCGGCTTCGCACTACACCCCCGGCGGACAGCGGGGCTTCGCGACGAGTAGTCACGTTGCTTCGCCTACCTCGGCGCGTGTCATTCCCGCGAGTAGCAGCCAGCACGGTGCCAGTGGAGTGAGCACGGCTGTTGTGGCTTCCGGGACCGGTAGCGCGGTGGGTGCGTTGTACACGGGCGTTGCTGCTGCGGGAGCACAGGGGGCGGTGGTCGGGCCGATGGTTGGAACGGTGATGGCTGTTCTTATGGCGCTGTTGGTTTGAAGATAGACTTTCTTTAGGAGAACATCCCTCATTTTATTGACTTCATTCTATTATTATTTTAATGGTATACCGGTACGTTAGTGTGTATTGTCTGTATGCCCATACATCTCTTAGACTGGGCGAGACTCCCCTCGGCCATCTCGGATCTCGGCCGTCTCGGGACGCATCCCAGCCCATCCCCACCATACAGGAGCAGAGTACCCAGTAACATATCTATTGGGATTCAGGACCCTCATAGACATGCACATCATATATATCAAACCCCAAAAGGTCGGATACGCTACAAAGGTCCAGTCCACTTAACCGCTCAATGCCCACCCCACCCCCGGCCGAACGAATCAATTTACAATCAGCCCATACCGGATCGACGACTCCAGCTCAAACGGCATCTTGACCATGTGCATCAAGCACCGCTTCAGGATCTCCTCCGCGCTCAAGGCCTCATGGACGTATCGCTTGGCGTAGAGCGCGAGGAAATTGCGGAGATCCTTGGTCTCATCTGTCGCCTGGTCGGGCATCATCAGGCCGGCGATCTGGTCAGAGAGGTTGCGAGCGTCTCCCGGAAGGTACGCGTCGCTGATCTGGGAGACGACCCTCGCGAAGCGCGGCACGAAGCTGTGCAGCATGCTTTTCAGGTATTCGTAGTCTTGGAAGGAAGCTTGATCGAGGCCGGTGCGGCCCAACGTGACGAGGACGCTGGTGGTTGTTAGTTGTCGCTAGGAGAGGAAGGGAAAGGTGAAGAAGGGGAAGAGAAAGAGGAGGGGGACTGGGAAATGAGGAGTGAGAGGAAGAAGGTAGACCTACACGTATAGAAATTGACTATCCTCCTCGGAGTCCCCCGCAATGACCTGGTCCCTGAGTCTTCTTAATCATGGGCTTCATTGGGGAACAGGGTAAAACATAAGACAGACAAGCTGAGGAGTACCCACCGTGGAATCTCAGCGAATAGCAGTGTGGGAATGGAAATGTTTTTCAATAACGTTTCTACGAAGATTCTAGCTGGTACATGGGCGTCTTGTCGGTCATCGACGGATACCAAGGCGCGGTTGATGAAGTGGTACCGCGAGGTCGGTTCATCTGTGCTGTGGTCGAATACACTAACGATCGCTATTAGCGAATGAATCGAGGTGAAAGAAAAACCGTAAATGGACGCAGAAAGCCGCGGCTTACATCTTGCCCTGCCCATTGAAGACTAGAACCTTGGCCTCAACTGAAACCTCATCATCGGGAAAGGGTAGCCGGGAATAACCTCCATGGAGAAAGAAATATCGCATGGAGCCCTTCCCACCCGAGGAGTATAAGGGGTCAAGCGACGAAGTCAAATTGTGCATTTGGAAGGTTGTCGTGGGGGTTCGCAGAGTGGCGTGATTCGAGCGATTGCACGGGAGGAATATGTTATGGGACCTTGGTTGAAGAAAATGGTATTTTGCGGCCTTCACGCGCCTAAGCATTGGCGGTGACGGGTATATGGAGGGTTAAACAGAGAGATACACGTGGCGCCATATTCTATTCTTGGCTTTGGTGGAGAGCATTCCTTCGACGCTTCTTCGTCCGAGGTTCCCGAGATCCGAGCCTATGCTTAACGCTGGATTCGGGCTATCGGTTGGGGAATCTGCGAACGGTGATCTGCGTATTAAGAGCACCATTCCCCCATGTGACAGTATTGTCTGTTGCCTGAGCGATCTGATTGCCTCTCATCCATTATACAAATGTGAATTATTTATGCCAAGATCGCCTCCGCAAGTGGGTCGCATTCCAAGCAGTCCTCGACTCCAGGGGGAATGGTTTATAGTCCTATTCGCCCCGCTAGTTGCAAAAATTGATGAAGGCCCACCCAGCACCGTCGACAGAATGGGTCTCCTCCATGCGCCATGCATCTTCGACTCAGACGGTGATGAAGAGTGCTGAGGCACTTGTGGATTACGTCAGAGACGTGCATTCTGGACGTTTTACTGATATGCAGATCAGAATGCTTCAACTCCGAGCCGCGCGAGCTGGTCCCATGTTTCCCAGTTGTTCATTGTGTGACTGGTCGGAGCCTCCAGTTCAGATACCGAAAATCTGAAATTTCCTGGTCGTCCGACATCCCCGGAAGAACACGTTGCTGAGCACCTGTTCGACCTGGCACTTTTGTCGCTTCCACAGATGCGGAGTGACGAGAACAGCGACGAAGACGTCAGGGACAGCTTGGCAGACGTATCCATGATTACTGGCAAGGGACCAAGCCACGGTGCCCTATCACAGAATTTATCAGGATTAAATTTCATAGCTATCGAAGCCCCCCACCGGATAGTGAAGCTATGCATGCATCTAGACACAGTCACATCTCTCCTGTGCCAAGCGTCGATGCTCTCAGCTATCAACCTGATTCGCCTCCTCCTCGGGATAGTCCAAGCCCCTTTGAGCAGAGTCCGAGACCTCTTCCCACAAGCGACATTGCAAATCTTGAAAGTGTTTTCAGGTGCACATGGCAGGACTGCAATTTCTACGAAGGAAACCAGAATTGAAAGGCACGAAAGCGCCGCAAGAGAAAAGATCGTGATCTTGGCGAGGAAGGTAACGACTCCAGGGTTGCTTCAAGCCCCCTCCCCGACGGAGCGAGCCTACTGCTGAAAGGGATCTATTTCCGAACGAGAGCGCACCAATCCCAAAACGCAGACGTCAGGTACCTTCAGCTCCTCTTCCTATGGCTACCGGCATCTCGGAGAGGAATCTGTCCAGCAAGGAATCTCCCTGTAGCGAGCACCAAGAGCTGTAAAGTAAGAGAAGGCTAAGCATAACCCGGCATTCGAGCGGGAGCGGAAGCAGTTCTAAAAAACACTGGTTTACAGCCGAGAGGGCTCTCAGTTCATCGAGTCTGATCAAACTTATGATATTGCGACTGCACTCCGACATCTGACCAAGGCTGTCTATATCTCAAGTGGCGTTCTAGTTGCTGCTTTGGGTGAGATTTGAGTGGGGGTGACGATCTGCGACAAATGAGTTTCGGATAGTGCCACCAAGGTACGCGAGGGACCTTGAGGCCGCCGCCCCCATCACATATATGAAAGACGATGGCCAGATCCTCTCCCCTCTCGAAAGTCTATCGTAATCTCCGCCATACGCTACATCATCATGCATTGCATGCTTGACAAACTACCATTGGAGCTTCTGGAGCTCATCTGCGACGAGCTCGAGACTCAGGATCTAGCCTCTCTGCTAGCAACATGTCGCCATACATACAACCGAACAATCCACCGCCTGGCCCAACGCTACTCAGAAATACACCTCGATTTCTCGAAGGGAAGCCTCAATCAAATCCACGCGATCGCCAATAACGATATCATGCGCCAGCATGTTCAGCGGTTGGTGGTCATGGCTCCCGAGCCGTTTCTGGGGCGCAATCTCGAATGGCAGCGCAGCGCCGCGGGCCACCTTTTTAACCCCCTCGAAAATCCCATTATCCGACAGTTTCGCAACAACCTGGTCGACAAGCTGGTCAATTGTCGATCATTCGTGATTTCACCATTGGGTAATAGTCTTGCGCCCGAGGAAGACGGGATGGATGTGTCTTATGATCAACACTTCACTCCGGACGACGCCGCGAGCATCCTGCTTGACATCATCAATGATACTGCTCTGCCCGTAAAGCTCTTCTGGTATGGCCGGGGAACGAACTATCGGTCCGAGATCATGAACATTCAGCGATTGCCTAAAACACTCTTCATCAGTCCAGGCTTTCGTGCAGGATGGGGCTCGCTCACAAACCTCCATCTGGAGCACAAACTCACGGCACAGAACTATTCCTTCCTTTTGAATATGCTGCTCAGCACGCCGAATCTTCGGAAACTGTATCTCAGTCTGACACCTAAAGACCTGGCAATTGAGTTCTATTCGCATGTCACCAAGTTGGAGTCTCTATCCTGCCTATTGGAACGGATATCGTTCTGCTGTACAGCCATTCGGTCAGCAGATCTCATGCACATACTCGATCGGTCTCGACATACACTGAAGCGGCTGATTCTCTCTGACGTTGGAGGCTTATCGGGGAGCTTACCCCAATTACAGGACCAGCTGTCTAGTTTCCCCTGTCTGGAGAAGGTGGACTTGAGAATCTGCCAATAATCAACGATCATGCACGGTACCAATGAGATACGAGTTACGCCTTCTACCTGCGCTCTACATGCTTTGACCACAGCCATACCTGCTGGAGGTGTAGGTTTCACGCCGTGATGTAGTAAATACCGGCCACCAGCACCCTGCTCGGATACACGACAGCCTCACCACAAGGCGACATGCCGAGGATTGGCTTTCAAAACCTGAAGACAAGCACAGACCTTACTCACATCCAGGCCTTATTAGATGCAGATGGACATTCTGACTTGTCTCAAGGCCTTGAGGGAGGAGTTGGCAGCCGTCCTGGCCGCTTAGGGGCCCCGGAATCTGCAGGCTGATCATTTGGTCACGAGTGGTTGCTTGCTGGCTCAGTCACGGCACTTGAGTGATCACCGAGCCTGATTTCCTACTTTAGACGTATAATCATAATTGAATCCAGTCCCTCTATGTTTAAATTGTCATGCTCTTCCATACCCTGCTTGTAACATGAGTCTTAATTGGACAATACTTCCCAGCACTGGTGTTGAACGCCAGTCCATATCTCCATGCTGCACACTACGAAGTTGACCCATCACACTACCACTGATTTTCGACTCTCAGCTTCCTCACTGGCGGCTGTTATCTTATTATACGAATAAGCAATTTTCATGGCCATTGCATCAAAAGATGATTGTCAGTGTAGAAGCTTCACGGGAGGACATAACGGCTTTCTGCTAATGGCAAATATAAACACGACCGGAAAGTGAAATCAAGTTCCCTGACACCGAGGTATCTGAAGTATGCCCGAGGCCGGAAGTGTAGATATAAGTACGTCCAAAGCTGCTATCGTAATTAGGCTATAGACACTGATTTTCACAACAAAGGCATATCTTCGCTTAGGAATAGTCCGGTCCCGGTCCCAAATTTTAGGACCAGGACTGGAGTATGCAGTCTTTGGTTCTTACTTATACCCTCTAAAACCATACTATAGTCCCCTGTAGTTCTAAATAGTTTTTATTTTAAAAGAACTATTTTTGGATACCTATATTCGAATTTGTTATTTGAAGCTATATAGAAATAATTACTAACTACAGTATTTAATAAATATATAATAATAGTTTTATCATACGCTACAAGGAAGCCAGGAGTGGTCAGAGCAAATGGCAAATTGCTTTCTACGGGGTACAGTCTTTCTAAATGTTGTGCCAGACAACGCAGAACTGTCGTGGAATCGCTAGGAGTGCACCACTAGACGATGAAGACAGTCAAACTCTACGGGATAGGGAGATAATGTCGATTATTCACGGCGAATAATGTTGGAGAATCTCGATGGATGCGATGGAGGCGATAGGCACTATCGTTTGCACTCCTCGGTGCGAGCAGGACGAGCGAACAAAGGGACAAGACCAACGAACCGGAGAAACAGAACTTTGTCCCCGGCCAAAACCAGAACAATGCTCTCCCTCCGCAAGCATATCCAATCCCACATCCGCACCGTTGGCACTTGCGAACGGCCATCTCGGTCCAAATCAGACGTACTTGAGATAGAAATGAGAATCGATCGGCGAGGAGCCTCCGCGATCGACGTCGGTGCCCAGCTTGTAGGCAACGCTCTTGCTATCATTGTTGTCATCCTCATCCTCGTCATCCAGATATTCCAGTGGCCGATACCGCGAGGCCAACCCAAGCGCGTTCTTCTCTTTGCCATACAGCAAAAGCATAAAAGTGTCCCCCTCCATGATTTCGCGGGTATCATAATCCATCATGGTCGGGGCGCAGAACTCGACCAGGGTGGCAGGCTGCCTGGCCCCCCCCCAAAGCAGAGCTTCGCTTACGTAGCCTGAAAGGGTGGGATTGACGCCGACCGAGTATAGGGCGGTGTTGTCGTCAGTGTCTGGTTCGACACGGATTCGATACGGGGTGTTGAAGCGGAGCTGGTTCGCGATGAGTATATGGCTTCCATCATGAGAGCTGCCCCGGGTTGTGGGCAGAGCGGAGAGGAAGAAAGCGAAGGAGGAAGAAAGAAGGAAGAAAGGTGAGAACAAAGATAGACCTTACCTTCCCCGTGCTTCCGAGGTCATTGGTGGTAATGGTGAATACCTGGGCCGCGCCCACGGTGCCCTCTTTGTCGAACTGCAAGGGCACGCTCTGGTTCAGCTGTGAGGAGAGGTCTCCCAAGAACTTCAGGCGTTCCGCCGTGAGCACATCGCCCGCCTTGTTGTCATTGATGAGGGTTTGTAAGGTCTTGAGGTTCTGGTCTGTGATGGGTGGGAAGCGGGATGTCAGCATATCGTGTGCTTTGTCCGCTTTGTTTCCTGTGGAATCATGAACAATTTCCAAGGTGAGGGCATCCGGACATACCATAACTATTGCCTTCCGTAGGCGCCGCAGGCAAGGAGAGCACCTTCCCCTCACGGTCGACGAGGGTAAAGCTGATTGTTTTGTCGCTGGAGACCGACGGCGTGGACGTGTCGCCTTGCGCGGCGTTGTCGCGCGCCGCGAGAAGGGCGGCAAATCGCTCCTTCGTGTTCTGGTATCCCGGCAACTTGGAAATGAGGTCCTCGAGGGCCACAATTTTGTTTTGCTAGGGCGCGGAAACAAGTGGGGTTAGAGGGAAGTTCATCACGGAGATGGAAGGGTTTGGAGCGTCATCGGGTTTTCCGTACCTTGATGGGACGCCAGTTGTAATAAGAGCCGACGGTGTAGGCCCATGCCGGGGGGCTAGATCGGGAGCTGGTTAGTACCTCGAGCTTTGCCATGGCAGGGGGATAGATGACTCAATGCAACGGAGCACACGTACTTGTTGCTCTGCAGGGTATCTCCACCCTGCGCCTCCCAAGAGATGGTGCTGATCGAGGAACTGTCCTTACTTTCCGAGCTGGAGCTGGACGCATTGCTGTGGCTGACACTGGCCGAGGCCTGCACCCAGGGCGAGGAGAAGGAGAGCGCAGCGGCCGCCCGCATGGACTTTGCCTGCGCGGCGGTAGAAGCCGCGTCGGTGCTGGTGCTTTCCTCGCTCGCGTGCAGCCGACCGCCGAGTTGGACGCGAGTGGCGAAGAAGCGACCTGCGACGGACACAACCCTGGTCAGAGAGTGCTTTTTCGCATTGCGCAGAAGGATGCGGAGTCTTACCATATTTTGCCTTGAAGATATCGACGGCCTCGGCGCTGTCAACCGCCTGCAGATCCGCCTTCGCTTCTTCGCTCAGGTCGAGACCGGCAGGCTCGAAGTCGATGACGACTCGGGGAAACTATTCAGAGCCACAGAATTTAGAGCTATTACCGTGGGGGTGAAGCAAACGAATTCAAGGGCGCTCACGTTATAAGTGATGGTCATTACCCGACTATCCTGCTTCGTGCTGGAGGTGGACGATGACGACTTAGTCTGACCCCAGCTCGCCGAGGCACTGGCACTGTAGCCAAAGGCCCCTCCGGAACTGTAACCCGCAATGTCAGCTCGCTACCCAACAAGCACATGCAGGCCCTTGATTTGGGGGTCGTTTCATACATGGCCATCTCAGCTGAGGTCTCAGATAGCGAGTTCTGCGCGATCGCTCGAGCGACCGACTTCTTCGCCTCATACTGAGAGATGTAACTGTCGTCGGCAATGCGAAATCGCGGAATTCGCAGCAATTGCTATAGAGAGCACGTGTCAATGAGATTTCCGGGCGGAATGAATCAATGACCTGCCGGGGGCAAGGCTAGCTACCTTCTGTTCGGCGATGGAGTCGATCTCGGCTGTGGCACTGATCTGATAGTTCCAGAAGCTGCGGGGCTTCAAGACGAAGGCTAGGTAGTTTGGTCAGCAAAGATGGGTTTTGATTCAGCTCCTAAGCCTTCGCGTACTCGGATACAATGAGCGTTCGACGTATTTGTCCCCTCCCTCGTCGACAACTCGATAGGCGTGCAGCAAAGAATTCGATCGCAAGGTGGCCGACCATTGCTTTTCATTCATATCCGAAGGGTGGCTGGAGTCGTTAGTTCAACATCCTTGGGTTTCTTGGCGTGTGGCACTCACACGATGCTGAAGGTGGTGGTAGGGTTCAGGAAGATGTTGTGGCTGAAACTCGTCGGCACCTCGGGTGTCTTGGGCTGTGCCGCTACTGGCAGCTGCGGCAGTTTCTTATCGAGCTCCACTATGGTACCTCGATCCAGGAGGCCATTTTGAATACCCGTTTCGAGAATCCGCTTGGACTTCAGGTAGACACGGTAGGTATCGCTGTTATCCTCGATGGAATCCTGGCCCACTTATGAGTAACGCGACATGAAGATTTACGTTGGGAAGACTCACGCCCGTCTCGCTTGACTATGGTGACAAGGCTTGTTTAGGTTTATGGGCTTTCTTCCTTTCTTTTTTTTTTTTTTTTTCGCAGGACGGGGTGCATCTGCGCTCACCTTCTCATTTAAGATCCGAAGGTACGTTTTGAAGGTGGTCTCGTCACTGACTTTGGCACCACGCTGATTGATGAACGGGCTCCAAAGGCTGCTTCGCTGTCAGTACATGCCACATCTGGATCGGTGAACAGCGGGCTGGGGATAATTCACAGCCGAGGCTCCAAGGACTTTTCGCTGACCAGCAGGTTGCGAATATCTGACAGCTTGAGGCCTTTCTTGTCGACGTTGGTGAAAGGAATGACAGTCTTCTCCTTGATGACCTTGGTCTCGCCATTATAGGAGTACACATGTAAAATCTGAGCAGTGCTGTCGTCCAGATCTAAGGAGAGTCAATTCCTGAGCTGGTCACAATGGTCTAGCAGGGTCAGACTGTCACATACCCACTTTGTCCCTCACGGCCGGGGTCGACTCCGGGGCGGTGCTGGTCTGCGTAGTGGTCTTTCCATCTAGACCTAGGGAGAAACAATCTGTTTAGGGACGTCTTCTTTCATTGACAGGAGGCCCGCCTACTGTCTTGCACCTTGCCCAAGCTGTCGTCAACAACATCAGTCGTGGTCTTAGCAGTGCCGACCACACCTTTTGCCATACCAGTGGTAAGATCCTTGAGCAAAGACATATCGATCGAAGGACGGTCCGAGGTAATTGATGGGCGTTAACAGTCTTTGTAGTGGAGGGAGACAAAGGAAATGTTCGAGGGAGAGAAATATCCTTGTGGGAGGGGGTAGAGGAGGAGATAATAGACAGATTTATAGGGCAGAAGATCCATTGTTCAGCTGCTTCCCAAGCAATGGATAGCTGCCAAAGTGGGACCACCGGTTGGAATGCGTCAAATTGCTTTGTGTGGAACGGAACCACAGGCAGTTCTGGCGCCATACTCACCTCCTCTTCGACAGAACTCGGCACGCCATTTAGCCCAGTTCTGCGCGATGGGGTCACATTGCAGGTTTTGAGCTCTGTTTTCCACTCTTCCGACGGAGAACAGCTGAGAACGATCGCCGCTCGTAGTAAAGTGGCGTGAGAAAGCCCAGCATCGGGGCCCCGTTGGTTGGTCTGAAGCTCGTGCGGGGTAACCCGAAATCACAATCAGGTATATTAGATTGAGGGGGTTCTGCATCAGGATCAAAGCCAGGCAGGCTCCAGAGTCGACCGGGATGATGCTTGCATTGCTCTCTTGGGGCGTCGGTCTCCACCGGCGCGGGGCTTGGTGATCGTCCTAGGATCGGCCCGGCCGAAGCCCTGAGAGGGTCCCGCCAGCCCCGCTGGGTTTGGCCTCATGCAGCTATCGTCAGGTAACTACAGTATTCATCACTATCTGCAACCTGCCTTGCCTCCTGCAACCTCAACATGGCGCCTTGCTTGGGGACTGCATGCTATTCGCCGATGATACTGTCCCCACACCATCTATTTTCTCTCCATGAAGGAGCCACCAGCTGCGACTTTCGAAGAGACAACACATTCCGGTCAGTTTCGGCCGGGCTTGTCCCGGCACCAAAGAAATCCAAAAAAAAAAAAAAAATGAAATAAAATGAAAAGAACTTGGAAGGGTGCTCCTCATGAAGGTCAAAGCGTGTTTCGTCCAGTGAGAACCCTGTCCACGGTGGACGCGTCTTCCCACCGATCCGTTCCGCGAATTCAGAACAGAAGCGGGGTCAATTGCACATCCCGAGCTTGCAGGTAAACAAAAACAAAAGGCTGTATGGCCCTTAACAGGACATCATGACGCGAATTGATGTAAAATTCCTCTCCAATCTCGGATTGGGAGAATCCACATATATATTACCACCCCAGCAGGTTTTTGCTTATCGTGGTGCTGCTCCCAACTACCCTGCACCCTGCCCCCGCGACGTGCACTAATACACGCCTCGATGAATTCAGTACAATTGGCTCCATATGTATTATGTATCACAATGTCTCGAATCCGTCCTTTCGAGACCGGTCACAACCCCGCTCATGCTGTCTGTCAATCCAAGTGCGTGAGTAGATCCTCCCTATGATTGGACCGAGGACACCCGGTGAAGTAATGAAATGCGACCGTGGATACTAGGTGCTCGTAGTCTGTGTCCCCATTCCCGGATTTGAGAGAGAATATCCTGGTGGGCAGGGGACAACACATTGTGGACTGCGCATCGGGGGTCTTCGGCTGGAGTGGTGGGCTCCAAGCCTGGATTACTGGACCGCGGGGGCGGATGGAGGGCCTCTCAGATCCCGGTGGCATCCTCTTGCCCAAGCTGCCCTCTGCCAGTCGAACTCCCCGTCCCTTAGATGACCGACGAGAACAAGTCGACCCAACATGGCTGGACCACGACCTGCCAGTCACCACGTTTTGTTGCAGTTATTGACCCACAGGGTGTGACATCTCCACGTCCCTTTCTGTCTGGAATTCCTAACGCCATTGAGCTGTGCAAGGAGACTGTCATGGTTGCGGGATTGATGCGCAGTCGTGCTTTCTTGTGGTCGCCGATGAAATCGGCCTGCATGGCGCTCTCCATGATTGCATCCTCTGCTCCGTCGCTCTTGAGCGAGGCCAGCTCGTAGTTGGTTTCGAGCAAGGCCTTGAGCAGTGTGTGTGACTTCTCCCATCGGAGAATTCAGAACCCCGGCTGCAGCTGGAAGAGCAGGTGGACGTCTCCGATCCTGCGCTTTGCTTTCCGCTGCTGTCGAGACTCGTGCATAATGGCCTGGGAATGAAAGTTCCCAAGACAACTGCTCGAGCATTGTCGGACGGGTCTCTGTGCAGGGAATGCACGAAGCGAGGTAATGTGAGGACGTGGAGCTCTTGGATTGTCTCGAGTCGTTTGAACGTCAGGTTTGGATTCGATGATGTTGTGTGGGGAGATGCGCTGATGCCTCAGGTAATGGAATGAACAATGAAGCCGCTGCCAGCAGCCGGGACTGCATATCATTGACTTGCGCAAATACTGTATAGTCGTCTGCCAACTGTGGCTGGAACAGCGCTGCCCACAATTGATGAAAAGTGATGAAAAGACAGGTGATTTGGCTAATATTGTCAGCGACTACACCCAAATGTTGGCATTAACCCATCACTTACCGGAGCATCCATCACCAGATCCACGATCTCTGCCGACACCTACTCTCCATCAGCAATAATGCTCGCAGCCATCGCATCATCAATCCTCTCCTCCACAGGCCCCGCCTTCACGGCCCCCCCCCCCCCAGCGATGAACCCGTCCCCATTTCCCCCGCGACGTCCTCAGCCGCAGCATCAAGCCCAGCAAGCGCGCAAGCTCTCCCCGACCGACCAAGTACGTACAGCACCGGCGAACCGCTTTCCATTAACAACCGCCCCGCCGCCGCCTGCAGCCGCGCCGGCGACGGCGCCACGCCCACGCCCACGGCATACGGCTGCGTCGTCGCGAGCACATCCACCGCATCGCTCACTACCGACGATGTGCATTGTATGATTTGGGGATAGCTTCGGGGTCTGTCTACCTTCTGTAGCTTGCTTCAGGTATTCTTTGACTTTCCGCTCGTGGGAGCCGAAATGCAGGTAGAGAAGAATCCTCTCGGAACATGAATAGTTGAGGCAACCCTGACTGCCCGGCACTGCCACATGGGCAGCCCCCACAGGATCATTGTTTCAATGAAAACCCGACACCATTCTTTTCTGGTGTGAAGAGGAGCCGGCAGGGTTCTACAACCAAGGTGTCCAGTTCGTATTTAGAATAGCAGTGAAAGGAAGGAAGGATGCGCCGCAGACAGGGAGGGTGGGGCCGATATCCTGGAGACTGGGGTCCGGGCGTTTGGCATACCATCGCCTTCTGCCACTGGGAAACGCGAGCACAGAGTCCTGTCTCGAGTAGTACTGTGCCAGATTCAGGCGATCGGGCTGAATTGAAACAAGGGTCGCTGGCCCCTTGCAGCTGGAAATGGCACGAGGCTGAACAGCGACCCCCTGAGCCGGTAGTCCTGAAGGTTGACGAAGATAGGCCGGTGTAGCTACCAGGTTGTCTTCACGAGTTAACATCAAACACGATTTATAAAAGTATAACCTCGTCAGAACAGGTTGTTCGGAGGTAAACGAGATGAGGCAATCCGACTGTGAGAGGACTTTCCTGGCATCCCAGCGCCTGCTGTGTCCCAGCGGTGACCATCAATCCCGCCAGCATCCATACCAGATGCGTACTACTGTCTCTACAAGCCACCGCCGATGGGAACAGACTTGTCCGCTCGGAATCTCTCAAAATGTCTGTAACCCAGATTCAATATATTGAATTCAATTCAAGACCTATTTCCCTAATTGAGCCCGCCTTTTTCTATCTAGCTATGCAGGCGCTTTGTGAGAAGCAAGAGATTTCCTGCAACGCCTTGAAACAGTAAGTCAGCCCCGCGTATACCGAAAGAAAGGCAGTGAATACATCGAAATTAGCTGTGGTATGGGCTCAAAGCAGCCCTTGGCCGCTCTCGTTTCACCTGGCTGCTCGCCATTGGTGTGATATCATGCCGGTGACTGACCGGCTTGTAGGAGCAAACCAAAGTTCTTTATCTGCATTATTAACTAGTAGAGTAGGTGATACTTTATTAACCGTAGGTATGTTTGCTTTATTATGATCTTTTGGTAATATCGATCATAGTACAGTCTTTGCATTAGCTTCTTATTATAATGAATATATTATAACTATTATAGGTATCTGTTTATTGATAGGTGCAACCGCTAGAAGTTC